GTCTAACATCATTCATTCATTCATTTACCTTTCAATCTTATCATACAAAGTGCTATTATGGGGTCAGACACACTAGAATATTTCTTGTACAATTGTTCATATATATACACTAAGATACTTTTTCAAAAAGCAGTCTGTCATTTTTCTACTCTTTCAACCAGTCACTGCACTTTGCATACTAATGTACATAGCATCTCTTCCCCTCCTCCTCCAATAATTGTGATGCTGTGCCTATTTCTATACAACAGATGCGGAATGCAGTGACACCATAATGTTCAATCCAAGGATTAACTAATACCTTAGTAATATATCACTGATTAAGTCAACAAATCTTAGTAATATATCACTGATTAAGTCAACAAACAACAACAACAACAAAGAGGTGTTACAGACCTCTGAAGCAGGACAAAGTACCTAACTCAAGCATCCAGTGTTGAAAAAGAATGTAAATTATTAACAAAAAACTTTACATCCCTATGTCCTAGCAGACAAATGCACAAACAGCCCAGGCTGGGACACTCAAAATGGCTGGGGGTGCTTTTTTTGATAATACTTCTTGCCTACATTAGCCAATATTACAGTCCTGCCTGACACCAAAAGGCATACTTTACTGGTATTGACCTTCCATCAAAAAGTCATACTTTCTCATCATCTCCCTCATACTTTAGCTGTCCCTAAAGTATTTAATATGATTTGACAAATAACAAGGTTTAATCTACTTTCATTTGGATTTCTCCTTTCCTGCAAGTTCTTCTATAATTTCTTTTAAAATCAATCTATCTGTCACTGTTCATGATGCTTCACACATTGTTTTGCCAACTAGCTTTTTCAAGGCTCTATTCTATTTTGTTTGTTTGTTTATCAAATTCCATTCCCCACTTAATTATCTCTTACTACCTTATTGCTAATCTCATTTATACAAACTAACTCACTATATGACTGCTTTCTTCAACCACTTGTCATTCATAAATATTCCTAGTCTCATTGTAACTTCTAATCTCCTGTGAAAAGCCCACTTAAACTTGCATGCAAGATTCAGAAATATTATATATTTGTTTATATTAATCAACTCCAGAACTGGGAGCTGAATTAACAATACTGTTGTTATATATATAGTACACCATTATACTGTATGTATAATAGAACAATAAAATACAGTATTATAATAAGAACAATAACTCTTATTTTGTTTGACCTCTGCAACACTCTTGATGTTATACAAAGATTTTAGAATTAATTATTACTGCTTGTATTACAATTTAAGACAGCTGTGTCTAAAACATACAAGCAATTCTTTAGTTTTAAACTCTTTTAGAGTTGTATATAATTTTCTCTTACTTTGCTATTTTTCATTACAACTGAAAGTATTGTATGCACTAACAGACAATACTGTACTTGTAAACAATAAACAATAAATGTCTTAATTACACCACCTCTTAGTTTGCCTTGCGAGTCTATCTAGTACTGACTAGAACTTTTTCTTTAATGTATTCATGACTAAAAAAAGCAATTTAGGGTAAAATATTTCAATATTTTGTGTGTCTGTGGCAAGTTTCAAGAGTTATTCTACTCCCACAGCCCACCCCAATGTGATAATTATGATAACATTTTGGCTGGATAAAAAAATGTGAACATCAATCGTGTCAAGGTTGCCAATGTTCTGGGATGCTCTACCTTCCTGGTGGGTTTTCCTTCTGCCTTAGTAAAACTTGCATCCCCCAGACTTCCTTACCTCTATTGAGGGGGCCAAATTCTGGTCCTGGTTCTCAGTAGGTGCTTGTGATTCAAGGGACCTGTTTAGGTGTTTTAAGCTTGGAATTAACCAAGCAGGCAGCTCAGGATGCCACCAAAGGGTGCTCTCCCAGAAAACAAAAATTCAGCGTTTTCTTCTTTCATGTTGCCCACCGGGTTTCATAAGAAACTTGTACTTTTATTACCAGATTTGACCAATGTCTAAATCATCTTCCATAAATGACCCTCTTCCACTAAGTAGGTGACTAATACTAGAAGAGATTTCAATTTAACTTTTGTATACTGTGCTGCATATACATGTGAACAAAATATTTTTGCTTCTGTTTTCCAAGATGGCTTATTTTTATATTTTGTTATATTTCCTTTAGTTTGGCATGACAGCTTAGGCATGTTGTTAAATTTCTGTAATCTCTTATGTAGAATAATTTTCCTTTGTTGTGATACTTGCCATTTCTTGAGCCTTTCAGTGATCTACCACAGAGACATATTTTGTGCAGATTTTGCATGCTTGTGTTAAATTTCTCTATACTTGGACCGAACACAAATATGAAGAATCAAAGAGTAATGACCCTGATTAGTTATTCTATGTTCATGAAGACCTATTCATATTATAAAGTGTTTAAATTTTGCTTCATAGTTTTAACTTTTAATAAATACTGTACATATTTCTAAATAATGTGCATCTATTTATCTACTTCTTAAATGTTAATAATATTTATGTGCACTTTCCTCACTAATATATTACAGTATTAATCTTTTTCTTAGCACTATTTGTTGGGGAATTATCCAACCTGCCTGTTCTGGTGGGCATGACTAATTTAGGCCACGTTACCTCCACATACTTCCAATAAATATTTAGGCAAGACAAACCCTGTAGAGGCAACATATCTGCCATTTTCATACAAATGTGGTGGTAATACTGTACCTGTTCACCATATCAATTATATTCTCTACTTTTCATAATTTTGATTTATATTACAGCAATACTCCTAAGCTAGAAGCATTCTTTATTCTGACCACTTAAAGAAATGTCCAGAGAACGACTTGCAGAGTATTAAATATTAGTGCAATATTAGTACTAGCATTAAATATTAGGAACTATCCCCCCCCTCCCACTCTCTCCCACCTGCTAAGCAAATTTACTATGGTTGCAGCCTTACTCAAGTAGGCCACTTTTATTTTGTATTTTCAATTGTTTGAAAACAATTTTACTTTTTTATTTAATTGATATAAAAGACATCATCTATGCTGATGATTAGTCAATGTATAATGTTATTCACAAAAAAAAAACAGAAGACAATTTCCTTTCCATCCTCACCAAGAGAATGTGAAGCAAACACTCCAACAAGTATACAGTGTGTGTGTGTGTGTGTGTGTGACTTGCTCATGGGTCCTGAGGCCTTCCTACTAACCAATTTTCTGAACCAGGTAACCTTTTAACGTTACACTGAAGCCTCATGGGAGGCCCTTGAAAATCTCATTTGAAATAGGCCAAAGTTTTACTAGATTTTGGAATTCCAGAGTATTAGTATAATATTCCAATGCTGACAGTGTTTTCAAAGTTATGACTTTGATTATGTATGTCATTGAATATGACAAAGTGAGATCAGTGATTTTAACATGAATCTTCTCTATTTTCTTATGTCTCTATTCAATTGAAAAGAAATTCATTTTGCTGTTTTATTATGGCCTGATGCTAAGAGATGCATTTTAGTGACCCTGTCAACATTTTCAAAAGGCAGAGCACAGGTAGATACAATTTGAAGCAGCCAAATATGTAACTGGGAGTGATGTAAAGCACCTCAATATGGGGACCAATGGCCCCACTGCAGCTTTCCAATCTCATGCGTTTCAATTATGACTGAGGTAGTATCTTGAGGTTATCTTGAGATGATTTCGGGGCTTTTTTAGTGTCCCCGCGGCCCGGTCCTCGACCAGGCCTCCACCCCCAGGAAGCAGCCCGTGACAGCCCGTGACACCCAGGTACCTAATTTACTGCTAGGTAACAGGGGCATAGGGTGAAAGAAACTCTGCCCATTGTTTCTCGCCGGTGCCTGGGATCGAACCCAGGACCACAGGATCACAAGTCCCACGTGTTGTCCTCTCGGCCGACCAGCTCCCTATAGTATGTTGGATGTTTTGTCTTGGTCTCTGCCATCCTCGAGACCAAGATGAAACATCAACATACTGCCCCAGCCATCATTGAAACACGTGGGATTGGAAAGTTGCAGTGGGCCCATTGGTCCCATAGTGCAGTACTTCATCTCACTCTTGACTATATATTTGCCTGCTCCTAACTGTATCCATTTGAACTCTGCCTTTGAAAATGCCGTCAGCTTCAACAAAATGCTTCTCTTAGCATCAGGCCATAATAATGTACAGTAACTGAAAATAAACTTTAGAGAGTTAATTTTTCAACTTCCTTCTCATGCGAAGAAAAACATAGGAAAGAGAAGATATGCCTTAGAATCATTGATCTCACCCTTTGTTACATTCAATAACATGCCTACAAAAAAACTTTTAAATATTTAGGGGCCTTTGTTACATTAGAGCCATCAAGCCTTTAAAGCTTCAAGCATACAGTATAAAAAAGTGACTGGCTAAAATGCATGAGATCTGTTTTAACACAGGCTACTGCAACCAAAGGTAAATTTCATTGATACATTTCTTTGTGCAAAGCTTAGCACTACAAAATGCTTACCAAGTTAGACAATATCAAAATGTTAACAAAAAGGCAACTGGACCTAATGAGCTTTCTTCTGGTACTCGCCACATCCCACAATAATTAGCAGTGGAGACTGGAGTAAGGTGCCTACAGGCAGAGGTAGGGCTACAGTTATTTTAACGGCAAAGAAAAAATTTGTGTTCAGACAAAACATGAATACTAAACCAAAAGTGAAGTGAAATGGCTTAAAGATCACATGATATGCTCCCTGTCTCCCTTCCACCTGTATCCAGCCTTACTCCTCGTCTACCACTGCAATGTTAACATGAGGCCCGCCACTACCTCACCTCATAACTGAAACTAGAGAGCATGTTATCAAAGACAAAATTAAATATACATCACAAGTACCCAGAGAAAAAATAAATACAAATTTGCAATGATCCTTTTCCTCCAGTGGTGATGATAAAGGAAACCAATACCAAGAAAAATGGAAAAATGAAAAATACAAGAGGATAAAAGCAGAAGGTAACAAAACAAAAATAAAGAGGTAGTATGAGAGTAGTGGCGGGCATCTTCCACTTACGTCTTTTAGGTGATATTAGCTTGACTCCTCCTGGCTTGTCGGCGTTCAGCGGCAACGATGAAACAGAGGAGCGCGTGCGTTTGTCAGGGGGGGTGGCAGCTAGATCATCAAGCGGTGAGGTGCGCTTCATTCCACCAGCAAGGCTTACCCCTGCTGCTGGCTTCTTCTCGGATGCCTTCTTTCCTGCCACTCCAGGTAGCTTGGTGGGTTCATCCAGCAGTCCAGTATTACGGAACCCACGGGACTTATAAGTCTTGACAGTAGGCTTTTTGGCCTCCTGCAAGTCAACATCAGCAGAACCCAAAGCATCAAGGAAACTTGCTGGGGCTTGTTTCCTGGGTATTTTGGCTAACCCATCTGCACTTAATGGCTTTATTTTCTCCAGTGTAGCTTTATCTTCATTCTCCTGTTCTTTTTTCTTCTTGTCCTCACGCCGCTCTTTATCTTTATCTCTCTCCTTTTCCCTGTGCTTATCTTTATCTGTACTTCCACTTCTTTTATCCCTGCTACTTTTACTTCTATCCTTGTCCCTCCTATCCTTGTCTTTGGTACTACTGCTTCTGTGTTTATCACTTTTAGATCTATCATGGTCTTTAGAACTCTTAACTCTGTCTTTATCAGATTTACTACTACTGCTACTACTACTACTACTACTGCCACTGGTTTTAGAATTTTTGCTCTTATCTTTGTCTTTCTTTCTATCATGGTCCCTTGATTTCCTGTCTTTCTCTCTCTCTTTGTCCTTGTCTCTGTGTTTGTCTTTGGCCTTATCTTTACTTGAGTCACTTTTCTTTACTTTTTCACTTTTCACTTCACTCTTCGTTTCACTCTTTCCCTCTGACTTATTACCACTATCTACTTTATTTGCACCTTTACTTGTCACAGACTCCACTTTTGTATCATCACTCACACCATTCATGTCACTCTTCTTTTCAGTCACCGGAGAATCCTGGTCTTTGGTATCAGGAAGGGGGGATGTGGTATTGCTTTGAGTGGAAGCAGGCAAGGATTTAGCAACAGGTGGGTTGTTGGCAGCTAGACTGCCAGTAAATGTAACTATAGTATGGATGGCCGAAGTTGTAGTGGTTGTGGTGGTTGACTCCGTTGATGGCACTGTGCTTGAGACAGTCACAGCGGATGTGTTAACAATGACCGAATTAACATTCGAGCCTGATGTACTCTCAATATTCTCTGAGGCAGCATTGCCTGCCTCCAAGGAGCCAGCAGCAGCAGTAGTATTGCCTGACGTATCATCACCAGTCTCCAGTGACCCCACTGACGTAGTGGATGAATTTTCGTTACTGATGGCACCACCACTAACCGGTGTCGATGAACGGGCTTTCTCTGCTTCCTGTTTAATAATACTGAGTGGCTTGTTGTCATCGCTGTCTGTCGAGTCCTGGCTGAGGCGCTGTGATGATACCTTAGCCAGAACCTGTGACCCACTGCGAATGGTGATACGGATAGGTGTGGTGGGTGCAGGCGTAATGTCACTTTCTGTGGAAGTACTTGAAGATTCATCTTGGCATGAAAGAGAGGAGCTACCATAACCACCCTCTCCCTGTGAGGATTCTGCTGTTGCTGTGTGTGTACCTTCCTCTGCTACACCATCAACATCCATTGATGTTTGCTCGTTAGGAATTTCTGCCTGTTGTGTAGCAGGAATTTCTGCCTGTCGTGTAGTAGGAATTTCTGCCTGTTGTGTAGTAGGAATTTCTGCCTGTTGTGTAGGAGTTTCAACACTATCTTCATCAGCAGAAGTGTTAATACTGCTGTCCAGGCCAACACCTGCAGCTGTAGCCACACCATCACCTTGACGTACAACCTCCATCCACTTTAGGACCAAATGTTTGGCCACCACCTGGACACCTGAAATAAATACAAATACACACCATTTATTTACCCTTCAAGAGAGAGCAAGGCATAATTGCTAAATACTTTATACTTATAACATGTTAAAATTTAATCACAAAATGGCAAAGAAGTGCTTGCTCATAATAAAATGTACGCAAACATTGTTACATGTCGTCTGTTTTACAAAGGTAAGTGCGTCCTTACCTGGACTGCTAGAGTCCTTGGAGAGCTCCTTCACAAGCTTGGGAGTGGTGTTCCGCTTAAGTCTGGCCACCGTCATGGGTGATGACTCCAGAAGGCTCAGCACTTGTGTTGCCAATGGCCAGTTTTTGGCATTTACTGCTTCCTGCAACCACACGCCGACCAGCTCCCAGCCACCCTCTTCATAAAATCTGCCATACAAAGACATATTCCAAACAATTACTATATATAGTATATATATCAAATACTATAACAGTACTGCACTGTATATCATTACTATAAAACATATTACTGTATATAATGAACAAGAAACAATAAATTTTATGCATTTTTTTAAATTTACTAAGTGCAGATATAAATGTAGATATAAAAAAAGAAAGTATGGGGCAAGACAATGTGGAAAGCAACTATATGCTACAGTACAGTATTATAAGAACATGCGAATACGATACAAGCATCATCAAGGAAGATGCGACCTAAATTATAACTCCTCAGTATGTGGAACATGAAATAAGCCAGAATGAACATGCTGCATAATACTCTTATGTATAAATACATGCCATTAGTACACACTAAAAATACAAGTATGCAAAGAAAAAGCTTCAGAAATAAATGCAAGAGAAAGGATACTGTATGTATGAAACAGAATAAGTCGATTGATAATCTCTTTGGCACTATAACAATGAGGTTGAATAAACACAATTTAATTTAACTTTGGGTTAAGTTTATAGTCTCAGCTCAACTCAAAAAGGAAGAGTCTAATCAGAGACAGCCCATTCAGTAACCCAATAGAAACCATGGAAATTATCCCTTAACCATTAACCCCAGCATTGTGCAAACCACCATAAGTCTGTTGATAGGTGGTGCATCGATTGCCGTATTTTGTGGTTACCTTATGTTGATTTCCATCATATATATGGTGTTTGTTAGCATATCTTAAGATTGAAAACTTGCATGTGGTAACCTGGGTAGCATATGGAGGCCTGAGGCTCTGCCATCTTGAAAAAAATTCTCAATATGTCCCACAGCCATGGGTAGGCTCAGTTTCAAGTGAGCTACTACAGCTGACAAATGTGCTTCCAGCTTTCTGTCACTGATGGGTTGCGTGATTGAAAATTCACTATTGGAGGATGAAATACTGAACATGATCCATTGTATCAAGAGGATAGTGGTAGTGATGTTGACGACTCAAAATCCAATTAAAACCCTAACACAACGATCAGATACGAGTGATACAGACATTGATGAGTACGATACAGTGATTATTTACAGTAAGCAGAATTAACCACCACCGCTGTACCGTACCAGGTCAACACCACTCTCATAGTGTTCATTATTTTCACCACCTGTGCCACCTGCCATTCCTAAACACCATGATACTGTAGTCAATGACTTTTTCTGGTTTGAGAGATATTCATTCTGATACTTGTAGCATAGATGAACCTAGTCTTAGTGGTTTATACCTGGTTGATGGGGTTCTGGGAGTTCTTCTACTCCCCAAGCCCGGCCCGAGGCCAGGCTTGACTTGTGAGAGTTTGCTCCACTAGGCTGTTGCTTGGAGCGGCCCGCAGGCCCACATACCCACCACAGCCCGGTTCTCATGGTAGTGTTACTAGGCACAGGTTTGTTGTGTCAGCAGCTTGCCCTGTAAAGTGCTGGTGTGTGTCCTGCCATGAGGACAATGACAACAGTTTGATCTCCACTTCAACTGTTCGTGGTGGGCTATACAATGTAGAAGAGCTTCATCTCCTAGACAATTGAGTTTTACTATAATACGGAGCTGTGATGTTGGTCGTGGTGTTGGTGCAACTACAAACAGCACAGGAGTATTCGTGTGGAAAGAGTGTGAGAATTTTGTACCAGAAATACCTACAATTGATGATATGGATTTTAGTGTTAGACATTTTCCAATATGAGTGAAAGTTGATATTTTATGGCTTATTTTGATGAGGCATTTATGTAACATCTTGAGGAAATGAACTGGTAAGCAGTACAACTTGTTACATCAAGCTTATTACTTCACATTTGACACATTGGAAAGAGAGGACTGTAGCTGAAATGAGTGTTTTTCATGAGCTTTGTATGATGAAACATTGTGAAAGTCATCCACGATTATTGGAACAAAGACAACATTGTTCGAACCCCAATTTCCAGGAAGTACATTTTGCAACAAAAGACAGATGCAAAGTGAACATGTCGATGATTCACAGTAGTGAAATGATAGACAGTGGTAAACGGAACTTTGCAAAACAGTGTAAATTATATTGTAGTCCATTACCAAATTGTGCCATGGACTACAATTTAATGAGATTGGTAGATAAATGTGTAATGATGTAATGTATCATTGGTAGATAAATGTGTGTGCAAAACTGTAATGTGGACCAAGAATTTTTTTCCACCTTGTAGACATAAAGAGTGCTGAACAGTTTCAACATTACAATATTTGGTAAAATCAGGCAAGAAACCACTAATCTGTATTTGTAGTCTTGCTCTGTTGTCACAATTACTTTTGAAATTTGGCCAGGAAGCTAGTGATGTGATGAGCTTTGTGCAAACAATGCCTCACACGGCTCTCAACAGACTGGCTTTCAAAGCTTACAATACACAAGCTTGGTTACATATGGGAATATGTGCAAAAAGTAAATGTGAGTCCATTGCTTGCAAGCACACAAAACAAAGAGAGGAAAGGCAAAAAAATCTGTATGTACCTGGTGCATAGAATGCACAGTTGCCTTGTGGGGCGATGACCGATTCCGTGCTTATCACACCTGTGACATACTGTATTTTATACATTAGGCAGGTAGGCTGCTCCATGTTTCTTAAATAAAAAAAAAATAAAAAAATAAAAATTGAAAACAACAATGTCAAAAAGGTTCATTCGGTGGTCGGCAAGTAGGCTGCTCCATGTTTCTTAAAAAAAAAAAAAAAAAAAAAAAAAGTTGAAACAATTTGAAAATCGGACAAATGCCATAAAGGTTCGTTCAGTGTTTGTCGGGTAGGCTGCTCCATTATTAAGACGTAAATGAAAAATACAAACAAATGGAACACATTTGAAACAAAGAAAGATTGCTGTAATGAAGCAGCCTACCCGACAAACACTGAACGAACCTTTATGGTATTTGTTCGATTTTCAAATTGTTTCAACCTGTTTTTTTATTTTTCATTTTTTTTATTTAAGAAACATGGAGCAGCCTACCTGCCGACCACCGAACAAACCTTTTTGACATTTGTTGTTTTTCAAAATTTTTCATTTTCGTTTTTTTTATTTAAGAAACATGGAGCAGCCTACTTGCCGAACACCGAACGAACCTTTTGCTATAAAACAAGTGAAAAAAAAATATTGAACAAATTTGAAGAAAGAAAAATATCAAAGATTTGTTCAGTGTATGGTAGGCTGCTCCATTATTTAAAACATTGAATATCATATTGATGTTTTTCAGTGGCAGAACGGATTAATTTGATTTCCATTATTGTCAACGTGGACATTCTTTTGTATGACGTCCGTTTCACATGACGAACACGGCGCCGGAACGGATTAAATTCATTATTTGAGGTTCCACTGTACAGCGATGGTTCACACATTTCATTATATAAATATATCACAATACACACTATTGAATAATATTACTGCACAAAAACAAAGACAAAATCACTCAGACATATTGAAATAATTAGATAATAATATCTTTGTGGCAACTGCCACCTGACAGCTCGGGCGGAGCAGACCTAGTCTGGCGACTGCTCTGTCAATGCCCCTTTTTTGCCAGACTTTCCCCACCCGATTGTGGGCAAAATATGCCACCTACGATTTTTTTTTTATTTTTTTTTCCGTGATCAGGGGACACAAATGAAATGAATAAGACGAAAGTTTTTTTTTTTTTTTTTTTTTTTTTTTGGCGCGCCTGTGGGTGTTGCATGCAAAAAGACCCTTAGCGGTCTGAGGGTTAATATCTGCTTGAAGTATTTCAATGTCTTCAGCAGAGGTAAATTTTCATGCTGATTTTTGTGTCATCTACAAAGGATGATACGAAGCTGTGACTTGTATTTTTGCCTATATCTGATATGAGAATAAGGAAAAGCAGTGGTGCAAGGACTGTACCCTGAGGCACAAAACTTTTTATTGCACTTGGACTCTATTTTATATGGTTGACTGTTACTCTGTGTTCTGTTCGACAGAAAACTGAGTACAGTATCCAGCAACAGTAAACCGAGAATTTGAAATCTGCCACGCTCGTGTTGATATTAGTTATATTTATAGGGGTTAGGAAATCACGCATAAAGAAGTTGTCCGGATCTTTCACTTTCATGGTGTTTATTGGGAGTGCTAAGAATGTCCTCATACTGCTTTTTTTAGGATTTCACCAATGTCTTTGTCATCCTCAGCGTATGAACCTTCACTCGTACGAATATGCCCAATACTGGCAGTTGTTTTTGCTTTTGATTTTGCATATGTGAAGAAATATTTTGGGTTTTTCTTTATTTCTTGAATTGCTTTATGTTCTAGTTGCCTTTCTGATATGAATGTTTCAGTTTCTGCTCGATTTCTTCAATCTCCCCGTTTAAATTATTACTTCTTTGTAAGGAAAGTCGTGTCTGCTTGAGCATTTCCGTTATTTTTTTCCTTCTTTTAAAGTGTTGTCTGCGTTCTCTTTCTACGTTGGATCTCTTTCTGGCTTTCCTGAAAGGAACATGTTTCAGACAGACTTTATATCCTTCCTTAGTCAGTTTTTCTACTCCTTTTGTAGTATTTTTATTACTTAGTTTCCCATGGAATATTAGTTAGTTCCCTGTTTATTGTCTCCCAGTCTATCCTTTTATTATAAAAAATTAATTTACTGAATAACCCACTTTTGCTTGATCATTGTTTTAGGCCTATTCTGAGTATTGATGGTAGTTTGCACTTCAATGAGCTTGTGATCTGAGTATATGTGGTATCTGATATCGTAATGTCCCTGATTATGTCTTCATTGTTTGTAAGTGTATTGCATTACATATGAGATCATTGTGTTTACTAGTTGTGTTTACTAGTTGTGTTTTTGCGGGGGTTGAGCTTTGCTCTTTCGGCCCGCCTCTCAACTGTCAATCAACTGTTTACTAACTACTTTTTTTTTTTTTTTTTTTTTTTTTTTTTTTTTTACCACACACCACACACACACACCCTAGGAAGCAGCCCGTGACAGCTGACTAACTC